AACCGGTCAGCCTACTAGCAGCTGGACCATCTAATCTGTATAAGCAATACAGACGCGCGCTACGCGCGCGCTATTTATCTTTAACATTTCACTATTAACCCTATTATACACAACTGTCAAAGGGTGCATTCGGGGAGCACGCTATTAGCACAATTATCGTCCAAAACTGTTCGAGGAGACGCTTTGTGGCGCTGTGATATACGATGATGACGTCACTGTAAAGGCAGCGTGACGTCATCACTCGCGCTATTTTCGCTATTATTTTCGAGGTGAGGCACGAAATACTATTGGCGCTTAAGCTGCGTTCGGGCAGCTTGCTATCGCTGTCGCGCTATTGGCTCTTCGAACGAAGTTCATAGCGTTTGCGTTTATAGCGTTAATAGCGTCTCCCCGAATGCACCCTTAGCAGTCGATTGAAATTCCACTAGCTTATGATCCTATTTTTATTTCCACAATTCCGCATTGTTCGAATAATTTCCAATGTTCGAAACAACACAATATATATATTAAACGAACTTTTTATCGGGGGATTACATTTAAGGCCATTGCACGTAACAAAGTTTTAGTTATAATCGTAAGGCTGTAAGGAAATAGACCAATCACAGTCGATTATTCTCCTCGCGCTTGAAGAATAATCAAGTGTGATTGGTCTATTTTCTTACGGCCTTACGATTATAACTAAAACTTTGTTACGTGCAATGACCTTTAATTCGCTAATCTTATACATATTTTATCTCTAATGATATATATTGTCAAAAAAATATTCCAATTTTTTACTTTATTCCATAAAATCGATGCTTCGAGAGCGATTGCCTTTGAGTTTTCGAAATATATATGTCGAGTCAGTTTTTAATAAAAATATAAACATCGTATTATACTCAAAACAAAAATAACTTTGCTTTCCGTCGGTGTCATTCGACTTATCTACAGTCAGTGGTTCTAACTAAATGATCGGTAGTCGGTAGGGTAAATTATGGTAAACGCCACCAAACGCATATCACGAGAACGTCATTGCTTTAAAACCTCTCCGACGTCGTCATGGCCGGTACCTATAAGAATTATATGAAATTGTTGGAATCGTGGCCGTTGGACAAAAGCAAAGCTGGCAGGTAATTACGATGTAACACTAGGCTAGGTATCATAAATGTAATTGTTTTGAGTGTAACGGTCATAAATTATTGGCAACGTATCAGTACTTACTTCTAAATATATCATTAGCTAGGTTAGAATAATCCTTTACATTTTTCAATTATCATTGATAAAGAGAACGTATATTAAATCATTAATTTTCGCGGCATATTTTTGTGTTTTCCTATCGATCTGCTTGATCCGGTGGTTTTTAGAGACTTGGGACAGCACATTCGTGACCAGCTGAAGATTGCATTTGTGAAGGGTGAAGCTACTAGCCAACCGAATCCGGAACAGTGTCATCGATATTATTCAAGCTTGAAAAGGCTTTCATCAAATCATTATGGGCAACTTCATAAACGCTCCTTGTTAAGCACTGCGAGTGGATTGACCAAGGAGCAATGTAATCTGGCGTTGACTCCAGAAATGTTAGAGTATTTGAAGGAAGAGGATAAGGGAATATTTCGCAGATTTTACGGAACGATAAAAAATTTTGTAAGAAATGATAAGGATTAAGTTTGCGTGCTTTGCGTATAAGTTTGGTAAGAATAGGTGTTCTATTGATAGAACGCGAGCATTGTTAGCGAAAACTAATTTCTTGCGCTCAGTTAACGTGAGGCAATATAGTTTTGAATATGATGTCTCTGAAAAAGATCTTCATGTGCCTGTTATGGCACAGGAAGTACTGACATATATGGATCCGTCGCCAGGCAAGATATACGTAGACATGACGTTTGGTGCTGGTGGACATGCCACCAAATTGTTAGAACATTCACCCGGTGTAAAAATATTCGTGTTAGATAGAGATCCTTTAGCATACGAATGCGCAAAAGACTTATCGCAGAGATATCCAGGACAAGTAGTTCCTTTGCTAGGTAAATTCTCCGAGCTACCGCAGCTACTTAAACAATACGATATTAAAGAGAATAGTATAGATGGCTTTTTGTTTGACTTTGGTTGCTCGTCAATGCAATTTGACGTAGCGAAGCGAGGTTTTGCTTTGTCAAAGGATGGACCGTTAGATATGAGAATGGATGGATTTCGGTGTCCGGAACAAATTACTGCCGCGGATGTGTTGGAAAGGGCAACGGAGGAGCAATTGGCTCGTATCATAAAAATTTATGGGCAAGAGAAGCGTGCTAAGAAAATTGCACGTGCCATTATTGACGTTAGATACATGTGTAGAAAATTAGAGACGACGAAGGAACTGGCTGAGCTAGTCGAGTCCACTTTAGGCGGTGAAATCAGAAGAGATAGTCTCGGTAGATTTTCGCATAGCGCCACAAAAACATTTCAAGCACTTAGGATTTTTGTCAATAACGAATTAAATGAAATTAATTACGGTATACTTCTTGCGCAAGTATACTTGAAATTGTCCGGCCGTTTAATAACGATCTCCTTTCACTCGCTCGAAGATACTATTGTTAAGAGACATATTTCTGGAAACATAACAGATAATGTGGCTAATACCGTCGCGTTAAAATATGCGAACCGTGGTAAGGTGTTTGATAAGGGCGAGGTTGAAAAATTGACGGAAACACCATGGAAAATGATGCATAAACATGTTTTGATACCTACGGCTGAAGAAATTCAGGCAAATCCGAGATCGCGATCGGCGAAATTGCGTGTTATTACGAAAGTTAAATAATTATGTTTTATGTACAAAGTATTAAAGCTTGTAGTTCACATTTTTTTATCAATATACAAACTTGAGATGGTATACTTGGAATATGTATACGATATATTTATTTTAACAGGAGGTATTGTCACGCTGTACATAAATAATAAAGAATGTGAACTTTTCAAATACAAAAAATTTATTGGCGATTATATATTATTGACATATGAACTTCCTGAGGAATTATTAATACACATCACATATTGCGAAAATGATTCTTCCGTTGAAAAATAGACATTCAATTTAAAACAGGCCTTCTATTTCATTTGTTTCGCTATTCCAGTCCATATCGTAGATACAAGGTCTAGTCGAAAGTCCGGGCATCATCATGATCTGAAATGTGTGTTATATAATGAAATAACATGAAAATTTAGTAGATAATTTGATTACCAATTCGAGAAAATCATTTACCTCTCCCACCATAGGAACAATAAATCCGGCGCCGACTGAAACGAATATATCAGTAATGTGGAGGGTGAAACCAGTTGGTGCACCTTTTATAGCTGGATCTCCCGTTAATGAATTTGACGTTTTCGCCATACATATTGGGAGTTTGTCATATCCTAACTTGTTGTAGTTCTCGATTTTTTTCTGCACCTATAACGAATGGCAAAAGTTTACATATTGCGATAATTATATTGACAATATATAAAATGTCAGTCTTACTTAACGTGGCATATTAGAGTTCGTTCCTTACGTAACAGATATAATTATTTTGTTAAAGAAAAATCACGTGATTGTCGATACAAGTGTACTATGAATTAGAGTGTGTTAATAAAATTTCTTTATATTGGAATATGTAAGATTCAGATATTTTTACTGATAATATTTTGTGGCAGTAGTTTACAGGTATAATATGATAATAGAAATAATTGTTTACCTTTTCCGCGAGAACGACTTGGCCAGCACCGTATATCTCTTTGGCGATTTTATTAATTTTTTCTTCAATACTGTCCTCGAGATCGTACAACAATTTGAAATTACTATTTTCTTCGGTAGCGGCTATCAATGCATCCGCAAGAGCTATAGCACCAGCCCCACCTTCGGCCCAGTGAGTGCATATTACCGCATTAATTGCACCGCTTTCCAACGCTGCTTGTCTAACGAGCTCTAGCTCCGCTTGAGTATCGGTACTGAAAGATTAACATAGATGTACTCATCTGTGGTCGATTATATTAATTTAAACATAGTTTGTATTCACTTTGTTTATAAAATTTATATATAAAGATGATGCCAAATCATCACACACACATGAAATAAGAATTATAACAAAAATTTTACAATACAAAAAAATAGTACAGATTCTAGTGTTCTTGTGATTGTAAATTATTTGATTTTTGCTATCATCATTTATTTATAAGAAAAAACATATATACCTATGAGAGTTGATGGCAACAACTACGGGCACGCCATATTTCAGACCGTTGCTGATATGTTTTTGCAGATTTGGTAGGCCTTTTCTAACAAGTTCGATATTTTCTTCGATGTATTCTTTTTTTAACGGTGCCCCGGTCGTTACAGGCGGCCCACCACCGTGCATTTTCAATGCTCTAATAGTCGCCACAAGTACGACAGCATTTGGTACATGTCCGGAGGTACGACACTTGATGTCGAAGAACTTTTCCATCCCGATATCCGATCCGAATCCGGCTTCTGTTATTACAATACCTTGCGGTCCGACCAATTTTAGAGCAATAGCGTCCGCGATAATGGATGAACAACCGTGGGCTATATTGGCGAACGGTCCAGCGTGTACCATTACCGGTGTACCCTCCAATGATTGCATAAGTGTCGGTTCTATAGCATCTTTCAGCAGAATCGCCATTGCTCCCGTCATGCCCTGAGGATTAGGCAGATATTTAGACAAGCCGCAAATTGTTTTCCTTATTCGCAATTATGAAGGTACAAGGGACATTGTGAACGATGTACTTATATCTAATTGCAATCGTATGCGTGACTATACTTCAAATTATTTAAATTATTAAACATACTTTAACAAGATAGATAATAAAAGGAATTGCTGCTTCATATGGAAATAATAGTAATATTGAATAAAAAATTTAGATATTCTTATACGTATATAATTTTATAATTATATACTAACAAAATCTTCAGCAGTTAAAGGTTCGCCGCTTTTGCTAAATCCGACGACGATATTACCAAGCCGTCTCTTCATATCCTCAACACTGGTTGATAATGCTAGGATTGCCATTATTTCAGACCCAACGGAAATACAGAACGAGGTTTCTCTTGTCTTGCCTTTCTCGGTTGGGCTCTGGCCGATGGTGATTTTCCGCAAAAAGCGATCGTTAATATCCACCACTGTGCAAAAGATGTTATTGCAGATACAATATAATTTTTCGTAATATATTATTATTAAGTTCTTATCGCACCTCGCGTCCATGTAATATTGTTCGGATCGACATCAAGTCTTGCAAATCGACGTTGCTCTTCTTCCGTTAATGAGTTCGGATCAGTTTTCGTGATGCCAAGTTTTTGTAATCGTTTCAGCTGGATTTTCGAGAACTTCCTGACACCCTTAATACTCGGTACCAGCCGATCGTACAGGTTTTTGTCACCTTGAGTCGATTCATGGAAGTATCGCGCATCAATTTGCGCCGCCATAAGATTATTCGCGGCGGTAACGGCATGAATGTCCCCGGTCAGATGAAGATTGAATTCTTCCATGGGTATCACCTATAACCAAGTCTACAGTTAGTTCATAGTAATAACCAGTAATAATCAGTAATTCGTCTTCATAATATCGTTATCTGAAGAAATTCCTCTATCGTACCTGTGAATATCCTCCTCCAGCAGCTCCTCCTTTAACGCCGAACGTAGGCCCCTGGCTAGGTTGTCTGAGAGTAACGACAGAATTTTTGCCTCTGTGCGCCGTTAGTGCTTGCACCAAGCCAACGGAAGTTGTGCTCTTTCCTTCGCCAAATGGCGTTGGCGTGATGCCCGCCACCACGACGAACTTTCCATTTTGTTGATTCTTTAGTCGTTGTAGCACGCTGAGGCCGATCTTAGCCTTCGTGCTGCCGTAAGGACTAAACTCGTTCGGCAGTAGTCCGATTTCTTCGGCTAGTACAGAGATTTGTTTCGGCTCCTGACTCCTGGAAATATCGATGTCGCTTGGTACAGGTTTCACAGGATTCAGTTGAAGAGCTCGCAAATTCCATTGGACGTTGAGGAGCCTTTGCGCCGACTTTTGCGCGGATATCACAGTATTTTTCATTAACATTGCTACTGTCATCGGTCCAACACCGCCTGGTACCGGTGTAATGTACGAAGCTACTTTAGCAGCTTCCTGGTATGCTACGTCACCCACTAAACGTTGTCCACTTTTCTTTGTGGGATCTGAAACGTTTTTAATGTTATATAGTGATATTGGGCGGGCTTGTACATTTTTTTATTATGTCTCAAAGTTTTTCTAGAAATTTATTTCAAATATAAAAGAAGGAGAGAGAGAGAATAAGAACTTATTTTAAAATAAAATTATACATAATTGTAAACTAAAATCATATACCTAAGTATCTGATGATAAGTTAATTCATGTATATTGCCTCATATTTTTGAAGGAATGCTTTATGCACTTGTTGTTAGAAATTATCGCGTTGCACACGCGTTTGTATGAGTATGACGCACGTACTCGAACGCGACTGATCTTAAACTAAATTATCGACTATGTTTTCTGTACTTTTTTGTTCACGGTCAGAGATGTATGATGTAGTAATATGTCTCGTGTCGTAATGAGAGTGCGAGCGAGAAAGGAGAACATAAGGAGTTGGAGAGAAAGGGTGATAACGTTAATGTTTGATACAAGCATAATGTAATGTAAGATTAACACGTTCACAGTCTATACTTGCAAGTATATATGTAATAATATCTATTATAAGGAATTTATTAAAAGTTATAATAATATTCCGTCTTCTTGTACCATCGCTGCGATGCGTTTATATTTTTTTAGATTAAAAATAATGAATTGTAAACCACTGTAAACGTGTTAAGATCTCATTATATAAAAGACGATCCATATGTCGATGTTCTGAGGAATTATTCAAGATATTTTATACAGAATTCTCCGAGATATTAATTTTAATAATAGATTCTTTGATGAATTTTTGAATTCCGAATTGTATTTAAAAAAAACGGAGCTGCATACCTGGTATAGGATTGATGCCGCAATCGATGACAACGGCACCCGGTTTAATCCAATCACCCTTAACTAATTCGGGTTGGCCTATCCCAACCACTAAAATATCAGCTTGACGCACCTGAAAACATTTTTTTTTAATATCATAAGTCTTCAGTAATACAGCTGTTTATTTTATTTTGTTTTACAAGCGCTAAGAAAAAAATCGTGAACTTAAATAATTGCTTACGACATCAGAAAGATTCTTCGTTTTCGAGTGGCAGACAGTAACAGTAGCATTATGCCATTTTAATAGTTCGGCAACGGGAGTGCCGACAATCTTGCTCCTCCCTAAAACGACGGCTTGAGCACCGGCAATAGCCACGCCGCTCCTAAAAGTGGTTTTCTCAATTTAACGCGTAATTGCATAATGATGAAAGAAACTTCTTGCGTCGCGTAATATTAAAATAATTTACTGAGATAAATAACAAACCTCTTAATTAATTCGATACAGCCGTTCGGAGTACATGGCAAAAATCCAGACATATCGCCGATTGCAACTCGCCCTTCATTAATAGTATTTAGTCTGCAATTTGAATAATATTATATATCTGGATGAATAAAACTTTATTAATATATATACGTTGTGGTTTTGCGAATATCATTGATAGAGAAAAAGATTTTTGTGGAAATTATTATTACAGTATACTTTGTTTCTCTCTCTAAATCCCTAAAGCAGAACATGTATCTGTTCAAATTGGCGCCTATGTAATACTATCTAAAGTGGTATGTCAAAGGGCACATTATTTCTGTTTTCTCTCTTGTTTATCACTGGCCAATGAGTTACAAAACTCCTTCGATATATCACGCTTTCGTAATAATCAATATATCAACAAGATAT